CCCCAAACACATAGCCTGCCGCAGGGGCGGGGTGGGGGGGGCGTGGGTGCGTGGGTGGGTGGGGTGGAGTCGCGGGCGCGCGCGAGGAGGGCCCCTCAACCGACGGTTCGGAACCCGGCAGCTGGCCGGCTTGCCCAGGGCACGGCCGCCGCTGCCCTCCTTGCCCCTGGCGCGCGGCCCTGCCCCGGAGCCATCGCCCCGATCGGCCCCATCGCCGGCGCAAGGATGAGGGGAGGTGCTGGGGGCAATGTTCGCGGGGATCAACGTGTTTTGCAGGCAGGGGGACAAAGGTCTGGGACACGAAGGTCTCCCCAGCGCACGCGCTCGCCATGTGCCGACCATCCGCCGCCGCCGACTCACCGCCCGTGTCCTTCGCGACCAGGATGGTGGGCGCCGCCCCCGCCGCCTTGCGGTACAGCGTCTGCAGCGACGTGCCGTGGCGCGCGGTGCTGCACGGGAGGGGGGGGGGGGGGATCGAGACGAACGCGGCAGTTCAGGGTCGTTTGTGCGCGGCGCCTCCCAATGCCTTGGGACAGGGAAGTGAGTCGCAGTCTTCTGGAGCCCGGCTCGCCCAGCGCTTGCAAACGGCCTTCAAGTGAGGGCCGTCGTTTGGGGCACGCGTTCGCACACGCGCGCCGTACTTGAAGCAAGGTGACTCATGCGCGAACGCGCGCGCACAAGTACACACACACACACACACACACACACACTTTCAGTCTCTCTCCCTCCGGCACTCTCGCGAGCACGCGAGAGTGCTCACGCGCGCGCACACACACACACACATACAAACACACACAACACACACACACACGTGAACACTAACACATGCATGCACACCCTCACACACCTGTACACAAGGGACCAATCGTTGGTCCTGAACCGCGACGGCAGCGCCGCCGCAAGCGCCGCCAGCGCGCGCGGCGCCACCAGCGCAGAGGGCTCGCTGGTGCGCGGCACGAAGCCGCCGGCTGCCGCGCCGTCCAGCAGGCGCGGCATCACCACCTCAACTAGGCCCCTGGGGACAGACGGTGACGCGGAGCACACACGACATGCCGTTTGGGTGTTGTCGCACTGTGTGTGATTGGTGACAGATACTGCACAGGCGTGTGTAGTGTGTGTGTGTGTGCATGTGTGTGTGCGTGTGTGCATGTGTGTGTGTGTGTGTGTGTGTGTGTTTGGGCGTGCTGTTCAGCTTTTGCATCCCACACTACTCCAGAAAGGGAGCACCAGCTTGCAGGGGCCGGGGGCACCACGCCAAAAGGGAGGGCCCGGCGCGAGGAGCCCTGGGGGGTTGAGCAAAGCGACCGGCGCTGCGGGGAGGACCCGGACAAGGGGGGGCAGGCCGGGGGCAGCGCCCTTCGGCCCCACGCACCCGTCGATGCCGCTGCCGCCGGCCGGCGGCGTGGCCGAGCGGTCCGGCAGCTGCTGTGGGTGGTGGTGCTGCTGCTGATGATGCCGGTGCTGTTGCTGCTGCTGCTGCTGCTGCTGCTGCCGCCGCTGCTGCTGCTGCTGCAGCCCATCCTCCTCCCTGCGACGGCAGGGTGACGGACAGGGGCGGCACGTAAGTGGCGGCGCGGTCCATGCACCGTGGGCCACGCACTCCCTTCACCCCCGCGCTGCGGCTCTGAGGCGCGAGGGCGCACAAGCCTTGCGCGCCCGCTGGCCCGGCCTCACGCGCGCCCTCGCGTTTCCGTCTCACCCCGCTTGGCCCAGCCACTTTGAGGTGTGCCGGTGCAGCACCTGACGCCTGCGGCGGCGGGGGGGGGGGCAGGGGTGGCGCTGGGCAAAAAAATCAACGTCAAGAGCCTGAAGAGACGGCATGAGGCGCGTGTGCACTCCGATGACAGCTGTGCGTGCAGATTCCTCCTGCGCCCGAGGGGCGCAACCCTTGCAACGCTTGCAGTACACCAGCACGCCGGCGCAACCACGCATGCATCACGGAACGGCCGCTGAGTCAGCCGACATGGGCCAGGCTCACGCTTCCTGGGTAGCCTCGAAGCACAGGCTGTGCTGCTGCTGCTCGGACCGCCACAGCACCTGCCACGCGCCCGTCCTGCCGCCGCCGCCGCCGTTGCTGCCGCCGCTCGCCCCCACGAAAGACGCCGCCGACGCGCCGCCGCCGCTGCCGCTGCTGCCGGACCGAGAGAGAGACGCGTCCGGCTGAGAGTGGAACGACGCGCCCCCGACGGCCGCCGCTGACGGCGCCGGCGGCGGCCCGCGCGGCGTGCCCGGCCAACTCAAGATGCCGGAAGCGGCGCTGCCAATCAGTCCGGCCGCCCACGTGTGGCGCCGCCCCTTGGACGGCTGGCCGCCGGCGTCGCCCAAGGAGGGAGGCGGGGCGGTGGGCCCGCCGAACGAGTCGTCGTCCGCCGGCGCCTCGATTGGGGCCGGCGACAGGCACGCCGGGAGGAGCGACTGTGGCAGGTTTTCAGGGGAGCGCCAGGTCAGCATATGCGGGACGTCGTGTCCAATCTGCAACTTGTGACGGAAGATACTTTTCCTTCACAGTGAAACCAGTCGGACCGCATTGCGCCGTGCTACAGCCGGCAGGCGGGCTGCTTAGTCATCTTGCCTCAGGCTGCGGCGCACCTGGCCCCGCCTGACGCCCGAGGCTGGCGCGGCGGCGGCAAACCCCACGAATCGGTCTCTCTTCACGCGCGCCGTGATCTGCACGAAATCTATGAAGTCCGGCGTGACCACCACCCCAGCGGGCGTCTGCGCGTGCGGGCGCGGTTGGGTGCGCTGTTTCGTGCGAGCGACTCGGTGGGGTCGGCAGGTGGCCACCCCAGAAGCAGCCGAGGCGTGTGCTGAGCTGCTCGGCTGCAACCCACTGCTGAGATGGGCCGCGAGGCGGCATGGCGCGGCGCAAGAACAAGTGGGGCTTTGCGTGGATGCATCCTTTCTGGGCGCAACGTTCCAGCCCAGCCCTCAGCCGTGGTGGTCACCACAGGGCCGACCAAGCAGCAGCGTAACCGGTGAGAGTGGAGCCGCTCACCTTGCGGCCCCCGCTGACCAGCATGACGGGCACCTGGTCGGCAATCTCCACTATATACACAGGACGGTCCGCTACCTCCGGTTTGGGCTCTTTGCTGGCAGCAGGTGTGTCTGATGGTGCTGCACAGGCCGGGGCGGCATCAATGGCTGGGCTGCATGGCGCAGCGCGGGTGTCAGCGGCGCCGGTGGCGCCGTCCCCTGACGTCCCCGAATCCGCAGTACGCAAGCGGGCGAGCTCCTGTGCCATGACCTTTTCCCGCTGCCGGAAGGCCTCGATCCGAGCCAGGGCTGCGACCAGGCTTTCTTGTGTGTCTTCTAGCTCGGCCGCTATGCGGTCGAAATCAGATTTCAGAACCACAGACATCTCGGTATATGTGTTGTTACACAAAGAGAGGCTCGCTCAGATCATGGCGCAAGTCATTGAACGCGGGCAACAGTTGCGTGCCGACGAGGGCGTAAGCTTAAAATAGAGTATTCGTGGCTTGCGACGGTCGAATCCAGGCGCAGGGAGGAGGCACGCGTGCCATCACGGGCAGCACTGTGGCACCTGGAGCCAAACTGCCAACCGCCCACAGCACTCATCAGGGTCGTTTCAAAACTATGATGACCTGCAGCTTCTGACTAAGACAAAGTTACAGCTGTTTAATGTGTTATTGAATGTGAGCGTCGCTCATGCCATCTACGGGTAAGCGAGCTTGTGCGCATACCAAAGAGCACCTGGGCTCGACCGTAATCACCCATGCCCCTCTAAGCGACCGTGGAGTCCATACTGCATGACGCAGTCGATAAATACAGACTCACTTGAGACTGCAAAAATCACATGTTGCACAGTCGAGGCATACGTGCCCACTGCTGGGACAACCAACATGCGCGTGACCTGTTCATGCCGACCTCACACGATGAAATGGGGGAGGCACGCCTGCATGTAACCAGATGAGAACATCAACACCGCTGGATGTTGCCACAGCAATCTGAGGGTTGGGTGGAGTACCTCTGGCATCAACCATGCCCCAGCCATCGCCGCCCGTCTGCCGATCCTGCCACGCCTGGGTGAACACAGGACCTGCAGCTGGACTGCACAACTGCATGATCGCTGTGTTTCCAGGTAGGTACCCCAACTTTGGCGTCCCACAAGCGCACTGTGCTCCCGCCATGTTGTGTCACCCGCCACAACACGGCCTGAGTGGGCGGCGCGCTGCCGCCGTGGTCAGGGTCAGCGCGTGGCCACTATGTAGCGAGCTTTACCCTTTCATGTTATGTTCAAGGATCATAATTGGGGCTTTGATTAGAGATCCAGCCTGATGCCGCACTCATACGCCGAGCAAACCCGGCAAACTGTTCCCATTTTTGTTGCCCACTCGACCAGTGGCCTGCTCAATACATAGCAAGAAGGTTTATGTGCGCTGCTGCTCGGCGAATAATATACACCACCCACATTGAGCCTCTTGATCCCGCCGAGGCGACAAACGACTTTCCCGGGCCCTGCCAGGGCGTGCCTGGTGACTCGAGCTCAAACACGTTTCCTGGATAGTATAGGTCAATAGGGCAGAGGCTGCATCGGCGGAGGGGCGCTTGGGCGCTCTAGCTATTGGCGTTGAAAGACCCTCGCGGAGTCCCTGCGCAATGATCACCCAGCAGCAGGCCTCGTTCTAGCGGAGGCTACATGTCCGAAACCGATGCGCCAATCGGGGCACCGGATGGCGCACAAGGGTGGGCGCAGTGCGAGCAGCACCCGCTAGTCGCTCTTCACGCACTCCCGGACACCATGGCTGACACCTTCGGTCGCGAACGCAGGAAAATATTCCTTGGTGGCCTTTCCTGGGAGACCAACGAGGGTGAGCTGCCTGGTCGGGGCGCACGAGTTGAGTGTGTGCCGCGTGTGCAGTGCAGCCCCAGCCCACCTCTGGCCCCCTCTGTGCTCGCAGACAAGCTGAAGGAGCACTTTGGCAAGTATGGAGTTATTCAAGAGGTGGTGAGCACCCGTTTTGGGGAGTATGGGCGTGCTGGAGTCCGCGCGAGGCGGTCAAAACCTGCCACGGCACTTCTCGCAGATCGTGATGCGCGACCGGGTCACTGGAAAGCCCAGAGGATTCGGATTCATCACATTCGACACCGAGGAGGCTGCTCAGCGGGCCTGTGAGGACGACCATACCCTGGATGGCCGAACGGTGCGAGTCCCAACGCGGCAGTCGTTGACCCGATTTGCTCCCAATCCGCCGCGTTCTCAAGACTCTGCACCCCTGACGCAGATCGATGCCAAGCCCAGCGTGCCTCAGGACAGTCAGCAGCGGCCACGCAGCAAGAAAATTTTCGTGGGCGGGCTGGCGCCCGAGACCACTCCTGGTGCGTGCGCGGCAACCTGTGCTGCTGCCATTGCGTACGTGCTGCTGATGGCGCAGGCCTGTATGAGAAACTTGCTTGTGGTGTGGCAAGTGATGGGGGCACCGAGGGTTGCAGCAACTGCCGCCACCAGGCTGTTTCTGCTCGCCACCCTGTGGCAGCGCCGTGCTGCTCACGTGCGCCCCTCCTTGCATTGCGCAGAGCAATTCAAGCTCTACTTCGAGCGGTATGGGAAAGTAGTCGAGGCTCAGATCATGGTGGACCACACGAGCAACCGCAGCAGAGGGTTCGGGTGAGAGGGCTGCTTCTGCAGGATCAGTTGGTTTTGGGTCGAAGGAGCAGCAGCAGCGGCGGCAGCTGCAGCGGCACCAGCAGCTGCAGCGGCGGCAGCTCCAGTGGCGGCAGCGACGACAGCAGCGGCAGCGGCAGCGGCAGCGGCAGCCGCAGCCGCAGCCGCAGCCGCAGCCGCATCGGCACGTGCAGCTGCAACAAGCGTAAGGGCCGCCGCCCGCTGCTCTTGATAGCACGTGTGCTTCGACCTGCCTGTTGCGAAGAGATGGCAGCCAAGGCTGACTGAGGCCAGAGATCGTTAAGAGCTTCCCAAACGGCGGCACAGTGGGATGACGCAGTCATCGTTGTGCTGTTGACGCACGCGCCACGGCACTTTGCCGCGATAGCACGCAGAGCGATGCACTGTGCAGCTATTGGGCAGCTTCTTGCTGGCGTCCCGCGCCGCCAGCCAACCATCCCCCGCCAGCGCGATGCCGGCATCCCGCATGCGCCGTCCCGGCAAACCCATCCCCCCTCCCCTTGCACCTGCACTGCCCATGCCACGGGGCCGCTCCCTTTTCCCCCTGTGCCCCCAGGTTCATCACATTTGAAGAGGAGGCGTCGGTGCACCGCGTCTTCAATGCGGGCCCCATGCATGAGCTGGCCGGCAAGCGAGTGGAGGTCAAGAGCGCCACCCCAAAGGGCTCCGGCCCGCAGGGCCGCGGCGGCGGCGTCGCGCTGGCGCCCGGCGGCGGCGCCGGCCGCGGGGCGATGGGGGTGCTCGGCGCGGCGGCCAGCGGGGGCGTGTACGCGGGGCCGGCGGGCGGGTACGGCATGGGCGGTTACATGGCGCCCGGTGAGCGGTCGCGCGGCCGCCCCAGTGGGATGGGATCATCTAAAGCAGCCGGCAGTTGGGGGCGGCAAAACACCGCCGGGATTCGAGGCACCTGATGCCAGCAGCAAGGGCAGCAATCGCTGCAATTCTGGGACATCAGCCCGCCGGCGGCGCACCCCGTTGGCCTCTGCGTGCTCTTGCCGCCAACCACCCTCCCTAGCGCCGCCCCTGACCCCGCCGCTCTCCCCGCACCCCGCCAGGGTACATGGTGCCAGCTGGCTACGGCGGATTCCTGCCTTACCACCCGACAGCGTTCCCTGCCGGCATGATGATGGGGGGCTTCGCCTACCCAGGCTACGGCCCCCCTGCCGGCTACCCGGCCCATCCAGTGTACGGCCCCGCGGCCATGCGGCCCCTGCTGCCCCAGCCGCAGGCCCAACTGTCGCCCGGCGCGCCGCACCCGCTGCAGCGGGGCGGCGGCGGCGCGCGTGGCGGCGGTAGGGGGCTGCCGCAGCTGCCCCGGGAGCAGTCTCTGCCGGGGGCGGTGCTGACTCAGCCATCATGGAGCGAGCAGCAGCTGCAGCAGCAGGCGCTTCAGGCGCAGCAGCAGCCCGTTCCGCGGCAGCAGGCGCCCAGGCAACAATATGCGCCACAGCAGCCTCAGCAGCCGCAGCAGCAGCAGCCGCAGCAGCAGCAGCAGCCGCCGCCGCAGCAGCCGCCGCCGCAGCAGCAGCAGCAGCAGCAGCAGTCCAGCGCTGCGGACAATTAGTCAAGCTCTCACAGGTGGGTGACACCTGCCGCGGCCCGCCTGGCTTGCGACCTGTCGGCCGGGCAGGGCAGGCACGGCCAAATGCCTGAGACACTGACCCAGAACGAGCGCCGCTGCAACTCCACTGCACTCTCCCAGCTGTGCTGGCCTTGAAAGTGTCGACTCACCGACGACCGCGTGCTCGCTGCCTGCCCGCGCGCGCAGATCGAACCCCTGTTTTGCGGGCGATCGCTGGTGCCGCAGCTGTTGCGCGGCAGCAACCAAGGCCAGGGCCAGAAAGCCCACCCTATTCTAAGAGCCGCGGTGCCCCGCTGACTTCCTTGGGGTCCCCCTTGACTGCCACTTGGGTTGTTTCTGCTTCGACGGACGCCGCACACCGCGATGCGCTGCGCTGTGTTGCGCCGCGCCGCGCGCCGCCAGGTGCAGCGCTGCAGGGCCCGGCCAGCCGGCGCCTGCCAGCAGCTGCAGCAGGCGGCGCGCCGCGCCGCTGCGCGGTGGCAGGGGGCTGCGACGAACACACCGCATCTCACGCCCCGACTTCACGGCTGGGTAGATCTAGGCGCCCGGGAAATGGCAGCGGCGCGCTCAAAATAGCCAGGCCCTTGCCCGCCGAGCCCCCCGTCCCTTCCCAGCTCCAGTCCTGTGACTGAGCGGCGGCGCAGAGACGCGCACAGGCGGGCGCGGGGCGCGCGCCTCGGC